CTGTGATCTCCTTAGGTTTAATGTCTTTAATTATCATTTGCGTTCACATGACACTCAAATCTATATGTCTACTCATCTATTTCCTGAGCCCCAAGCTTGTATTTCCAATTGTTTGATGGATATTTCTACCTAGATATCCTATCTCAAATTCAGCAAATCATATCCACAACTAATTATCATCTTACCTCCCTAAATCCATTCCTTCTCCTGAGTCTAGTGCTTCTTTAGAGAGTAATTACATTCTTCTAGTTCCTAGGTTTGTAGCTTTGGAATCTTCTGTCTTGGTCATCCACCCTCTATGTCCAGGTTGTTGCCCAGCCTTGCTTAGGCTCTCCTGTATACTTGGAATGCTCCCTCTCTTCATCCGTACCTCTTGGAACCCTTAGATCCTTTTCAGATCGCACAAGGGCCACTTCATTCAAGAAACCTCTCCTGATTCCCTCAGTTTCTAGCCCCTCCAACTAATTTTATATTTCTTTTGTATTCATTTATCTGGGCACATGTTGTTTTGCCCAGTGTGTCTATAATCTTGACTTTGGGGACTATTTCACATTTCTCTTTGTATCCTTAGCACCGCAGCGCAGTCCTGGCATACAGTAAGCATTTAATAAATACTTGTTGAATTGAATTGCAACTGTGATAGTGGACTAACTTGTCTGAGCCTCAGTTTTCTCATCTATAAAATGGACAGAACAGAATTGGCCCTGTCTAGTGCATGACATTGTTGTCAGGTGTGACGTTTTTCAAACTCTAACATCCCGTGTGAGTGCTTGCTGTTGTTGTTAGTTCATTGCTGTGCTTTTTGGACAGAGTTCAGAGAGGACAGGCTGTATCCTGCCATTATTCTTTATAGTGAAGATTCTGGGAGCTGCTGTGCAGGTGGATAAAGGGACTGCATTTTGTAATTGAGTAAGAGCATTGCAATGTGAGCTCATCTTTCATGAACTCACTGAAATTTCAGCAGGACGTGGCTGTAGCAGACCAGGTGATAGACATTACAAGTACCTTGTTCTTTTCTCACATGGGTTTAATTTCTCCTGCTAACAGCTCTATTTTTTTCTTTTTTTAAATAATTTATATTTATTTTGATTTATCAGCAATCACTTCCATAAGCTTTTGAGTTTAAAATTTTTCTCCCCCTCCCTCCCCGCTTCCCTCCCCGCTTCCCTCCCTAAGATAGTGCACAATCTGATATAGGCTCTACATATACATTCCTATTAAACATATTTTCACATTAGTGATGTTGTAAGGAAGAATTAGAACCAATAGGAGGAACCACCAGAAAGAGGAAACAAAACTCAAAAGAAGAAAAAAAATAGCAAATAGTATGCTTCTATCTGCATTCAAAGTCCATAGTTCTTTCTTTGGATGTGGATAGCATTTTCCATCATGAGGCCTTTGGAGATGTCTTAGATCCTTGTATTGCTGGAAATGGTTGAGTTTATCAATATTAGTCATCGCACAATGTGGCTGTTATTGTGTACAGTGTTCTCTTGGTTCTGCTCACTTCACTCATCAGACCATCTACGTCTTTCCAGGTTTTTCTGAAGTCAGCCTGTTTATCATTTCTTTTTTTTTTTTTTAATTTTTAGGCAATTGGGGTTAAGTGACTTGCCCAGGGTCACATAGCTAGTAAGTGTCAAGTGTTTGATCTGAGGCTGGATTTGAACTCAGGTACTTGTGACTTCAGGGCCAGTACGCTATCCACTGTGCCACCTAGCTGCCCCCCTGTTCATCATTTCTTATAGCGCAGTAGTAGGCTCTATTTAGAGATTTTCATTTAATATAGTTTGGAGATTGTGTGTTGAATATAGTGATATGAATTTAAAAACTTTGTTCTTAATTTTTGTTTTGGTGTTATTTGCAGACTGTTATGGGTAACATTTCTGTATATGAAAATAGTTCAGTTCTAGTACAGCTTGTTTGTGGGATTCCAAAGATATTTGGGGGTTTGTATTTTTTGGTATGGGTGTTTTTTTGTCTCTTAGCATATGTGAAATAGCAGATGTCTGATGTGTAATTCTCACTATCTAACCATATCTTTTTAGGTATCTAGTAAGTGCTAAAGTTTTACAGGGCAGATAGGTGTTGTAGTGGATAGAGTGCTGGGCCTGGAATCAGGAAGACTTCCCTTCTTGAGTTCCAATCTGGCCTCAGACACTTACTGGCTGTATGACCCTGGGCAAGTCATTTAAGCTGCTTGCCTTTGTTTCCTCATCTGTAAAATGAGCTGGAGAAGGAAATGGCAAGCCACGCCAGTGTCTGCCAGGAAAACCCCAGATGGGGTCATGAAGAGTCAGACGTGACTGAAAGATAAAGCAACAGCAGCAACAACAACAGTTGTACAGCATGCAGGGATAAGCTGTACAATTTCCACCATTGCAGAGATGGCATCAGTCAAGAAGGCTCAGCTTTCTCTAAGTTTGGGTAGCAATCACCTCATCCTGAATCATTGTTATAAATGCTTCTGTTTCTAGAAACAAATTTGCACAAGGCAGCCATTTAGCTGATGTGTCTTTTTCAGCATGTTGTTGGTTAAGTTGATGTCATCCATGGATATCAAGTGGTTCTGCTTCCTCATTGATTTGAAAGCTGTATAAACATTTCTATTCCCGAGTGATAATAATGGGGTCAATGGGAGGCAGCGCGAGAGTGGTTTGAAATGGTGTCTCCAGAAGCTGCCACGTTATTGAGTTGGTGTTGTGCTTTAAAAAGAGGATGGTTTTTCATGTGAACCTCAGATTTTCTAGCATTCTCTTGTACTTGGATCTGTTTTACATAGTGAAAAGTATGTGCACAAGTCATGGTGCAGACTGAGGCAAAGCCTTTGCCACAGTGAAGGCCGTGCAAATATGGCAGCACTTTTGGACCGCCATGTCAGAAATCAATTAATCAATGCCCTTTATTCCTCTGAGACTTTGAAGGACACTCTTTTTACTCCTCAGGCAATATGTTGTTTTCTTGCTTATAGATTTGTTTTGAATGGTACAAACTATGAATGCTTGTAGAAAATACTCAGACTCATAATTGGCCTTTATTTGGAGGGGGTCACTGTTTTCTCATTGTTTGGCAACAAGGAAGTGATGCCTTCTCTTAGGAAGGATGGGGTCAGACCTGCATGGGAGAGAGTTGGTAAAGTGCTTTGTTAGTACCTGATAACCCACCCAAAAGCATTAGAGTCAATGATTAAGGACTTTGTTTGGACCTGGCACTTTCTGGTTTTGCTGGGATGCTAGAGATTCATCTGCCTTAGCTGACATGACTTTTCCTTTGTTCTTTACATTAATGCAAATTTCTTCTGGATTTGATTCCATTTGCATTTTTATGTTAGGCTTCTTATAGCAATATAGGTTACCAGAAATTTTCCACATCTTCCTAATTAAGGGCTTCTTTTTCCTCTGATTACTTGACTCCTCAAGCCTGTATAGCAGTTAAAAGTATATTAAGGTTTTAATTTTATTCTTAGCGTTGCTTTGACTCCCTGTATCCTTAGCTTTTCAGCTTTCACGTTTAGTTGTTGAGTAGGGGGATCAAGGGGGATCAAGAATTTCTGATAGACTTCATCTTCAACATTCAGTTCCACAAGTTTCTTTCTTTTTTTTCCCTTTTAATTGATGTGATTTTCATGTTTTCCACTGTGTTGTACCCATTAGATATTGATGCAGTCTTCCAGTACCTTTCCACAGTTCTTTATAGCTTCCTCAAGTTATTTATGCTTTGCTGCTCTTTAGTGCCTCCTCTTAGGACTAGTTCTAAATAGTTCCACCTTCACTTCTTTGGCCTTGTATCAGTAACTACAGCATGGGCTGTCGCGTCCAGGCCTTGAAATTATGTTATAGTCTATGTTTTGTGAGAATGTATTCATTCAGAGTGGTTAAAGCCGATGCCATCTTTGTTTTATATAGTCTTTAAGTTGGATTTGTCCCATCAGACTCAAAAAGGACTTTTCAAAATTCGATTCTGAGTGTGCCCTTTCTTCTTCGGAATCATTTGACTAAAAACCAACCAAACAAACAAGCAAACAACAAAGAAAGGGGCAGCTAGGTAGTGCAGTGGGTGGAGCACCGGCCCTGGACTCAGGAGGACCTCAGGTCAAATCCGACCTCAGACACGTAACACTTACTAGCTGTGTGACCCTGGGCAAGTCACTTAACCCCATTGCCTAGGCGCGCCCCCCCCCAAGAATCATTTGACTAATGGGCATTGTTTTTTTTTAACCATCTTTCACTATTAATTAGCACTTCCGGATTTTACAGTAAGTGTAGACTTTCAATGCTTTCTGATTTTTTAGCTTCTTCATATTTAAGTAATGCCTCAATTTTTCTCTTATTGCATATCATTATTGTTATAGAATGCTATAATATAATGATGCCTTCATAACCTACTAATGTGTATAGGTACTCGGTGTCTACTTGAAATTTTTCCAGATTTCTCAGCTTTATAAGTTTTTTTTTTGTGCATGCGTGCGTGTGTGTGTGTGTGTGTGTGTGTGTATGCATGCACGTGTCTTTATAGTGATTCCTCACCCCAGTTTCTTCTGTTGCTATTAGGCTGTTATATCTCAATGCTTCTTATTAGCTCCTGTCTGCAGTAACCATTTGCCCTCACTCTTCTAATTTGCTGCTTCTTGTCTGTTGTTGCCTTGGAAATAAAATAATCATACTCTTGAAATTGCGCATAAATCAAAAGGCAATAGGTTCTAAGAACTTATGAATAAAATACATTACTTGAAGGCATCTGTTTGAAAGGGTTCTAGGTCTTTTGATGTTGATTCCAGTTTTTTGATAGTGATTTTGGATGGGTAGGTTAACAAGGAAACCCCACCTTCAGGAGCACTTCAGTACTAGGAATCCTAAAATCTAGATTATGATTCTTTTGCATTCTAGCTTTTGAAAGATTTTTGGCCTTTTAAACTTTATATTTAATGGATGTTTTGCTATTCTCGTAATTTTAGACTTCTGCATTTTAAAATTGTGTTAATTGTCTTTCTTTTTTTCAAGGTATGAGCATGTTCTTATGGAACCTGACCCGGTACCAGCCTACGCTCTGAAACTGCTGGTAGCCATGACTGAACATAATCCAGCTTTTACCAGGTACTGCAACTTCAAATATCCTTTTCTAGTAGAAATTCTTAGCAGTTCCATTTTATTGACTTGCTCATCCATAAAGTGAAATCCATATGTGCTACTAAAAATTATACGGTTCTGAAGTCTGATGTTGGAACAGTGAAAGTAGTAGTTTTTCATGTTTTGTGCTTTGTAATAGCTATCATTTAGGCTACTTTTGCTCTTATTTTTATATTTTTGTCTCATACTTGTATTTGCCAAAAATAGGGAAGAGGTGCGTACGGCGTTCAAAATGGTAGGCTCTTTAAGCAGTTACCATTGATTTCTGAAGGGTCAAATAACATACCGAATGTTGTTGGATATTTTGATAGCCTTTGCAGTGTATCTGTGGTGTATCCTTTGCCGCTCTTAGATTGAGGTGACTTATTTTGGTGATTGCTGGTTTGCGGAGGGTTCAGCTGCCTCTCCCATGAGGTAAGAATACTCTTCATTTCTTAACTTGAAGCGGCTCTCTGCTTTAGTGGCCATTCGCTGATGGAACAGCAGTGCCTGATGAGGCCGTAGGAAAAACCTAGGTCCTTGTGAGGGCAGAGGCAGGAGCCTTGAGTGCCCCAGCTCGTCCACAAGCTCGAATGTGAGGGAAGGAGGAGATCTTGGTTCTTGCCTGTGGGCTCTCCCCCAGTAGAGGAGAGATGTAGTCCATACAGTTCTTCATTAGAACCACTGAGGACCAAGGATATCTTCTCCAGTTCCATGTCAAAATCGTCTTATTACCTGCAAATAATAACACTCTTAGTCATCATCATTTCCCTTCATGTGTGCCTATCAACCATCCCTTGAAAATGCGCTTGAGAACTTTCCCAGGAATTACAGTGAAACTCATGGTCATTTAGCTGAAAGAATTCCTCTTCCTCTGCCTTCTTGACTTCTCCAATGCACACTGTGCATTCCTTCTGACCTCTGAAACTCTCGACTCTGACGCTTATTCTAGCACTGGAATAGGACTTACCAAACATGACTGTTTTCTGTTGTGTGGCAGCCTTATCTGGCCAACTGGCCTCCAAAATTTTTGAGCACAGAAAGTCACTTTTGTACACTTCTCTGTCACCTTGCAACTGTGGGGGACTGAGGAGGTGGGGAGTAAATGTTTCTTTATTAATTCAATAAAACAGAGAACCCTGGTCTCTGCCCTCAGGTAGTTGTTTGGTCCTTTGGCTGACTCCTGGGGCTTCACACGGGGGAGAGGAGCAAATAAGAGAGGAAGGTGCCTCTGTCTTGGAGGTTGGCCCATATGATAGATCCAACGTCACTGCGGGAAGAATGTGGGGGTGCGTTTTATCCATATGTGCTCGTGTGTTTACATATGTGTTTGCGTGTATATACATGTGTCTATACTTTATTAGCACAAGTCCTTTCTCCATCAGCAGAGAGGGCAGCCCATTGTGCTTTAAGAGAAGCCACAGTGGAAGGCAAACACTCTTTGAGAGTAAGGGCTGGCTTGCTTTTCTATGTGTATCCTCACTGCTTTGTATATAGTAGATGCCTAATAAATGCTCATTCATTTATTCATTCATTCCAGAGTTGAGACATTGGAGTCTTTAGAAGAAGTACCTCTTTCTCCTTCCCTTTTCCTTCCTCCAATATGTATATGTAAACATTCATCTATACATGTACATACATACAGATGTGTATGTTACACATGTGTACACATGGCACACACATAGTATAGTTACTTTGGGTCTAGACCTGTAATTTTATTAATATAGGGGACTCTTGGCATGGAATCTCCTTAGTAACTTGTCTATAGCTTGTTGCCTAGGGACAATAAAAGGTGAAATCAGTCAATCAGTGAACAAGCATTTATCAAATGCTTCCTATGTGCCAGGCACTGTGCTAAGAACTGAGAATACAAATACAAGCAGAAAGAAAGGCATTCCCTGCCCTCAAGGAACTCACATTACAATGGGGGAAGACAGCACATAGAAAGGGTGCTTAGAGTAGGATGGAGTAAAGGTCCTGGGCACCCAGGCATGGCAGAGAAAGTCCTGTGCGGATGAGTCAGGAGAGTAGCCTGGAGAGGAATGAAGGAAGTCAGGGGCTTCTTCATGGATGCACAGCTGGTCTGTGCCAGAGGTGGGCCTTGTTCCTATGGCTTCCTGGCTATCTATATTGTCCGTTCAACATAGTTTCCTTTATTTTAGGAGACTGAGTCAATAAGGAAGGTGAACTTTGAGTTTTTTAAAGTTAGTGTTTACTAGTAACATATACATTGCTACCTATCATCATTGGATATATGTGTGTGTATATGTATGCATGCATGTATGTATGTGTGGATCCATGCGCATGTGAGAGGTACATACATACACAAATAACACACATGTATACATGCATATTTATCTGTGTATACATGTATGCATAGGCACACCTGTATATTATGTATCCACATGTTATACACTATATCTTCAGAATATATCAGACCCATGAACAAAAATGTTACAATCTTTATTATGAAAAAATTGTAAAAAGTGGGCTTTGGGGTAGAGCTAAGTGATGGGAAAGAATTGTTTCTAGGGAAGAGTCAGTCAAGGAAGGGCCTTGTGAGATAAGTTTCCTATCAAGTATGTGTGTGTGTGTGTGTGTGTGTGTGTGTGTGTGTGTGTGTGTGTATGCATGCATGCACATAAGATTTGAACTTAGGTCTTTCAGACTCTGGGCATCGTGTTGTATCTATCATGCCACATAGCTGCTTCTTATTTTGTTGTAAGCTTTTTAAAAAAATTACTGCATACCACTCCTAGGGCTGTATCCCAAAGACAGTATAAAAAAGAAAAGGACCCACATGTACAAATATATTTATAGCAGCTATTTCTGTGGTGGCGAAGAATTGGAAATTGAAGGGATGGCCATCAATTGGGGAATGGCTGAGGAAGCTGTGGTATATCAATGTAATGGAATACTGTTGTGCTATTAGAAATGATGAACGGGCTGACCAGAAAAACCTGGAAAGACTTGTACGGTCTGATGCTGAACAAAGTGAGCAGAACTCGGAGAACGTTGTACACAATAACAGCCATGTTGTGTGATGCTCAACCATGATAGACTTAGCTCTTTTCACCAATGTAAGGATCTAAGACAATTCCAAAAGACCTATGATAGAAAATGCTATTTACATTCAGAGAAGGAACTGTGGAATCTGAATGCAGATCAAAGCATACTATTTTCACTTTTTTTCTTTCTGGTTTTTCCCTTTTGTTCTGTTTCTTCTTTCACAACATGACTAATATGGAAATATGTTTACATGATTACACATGTGTAACCTATATCAGATTGCTTGCTGTCTTGGGGAAAGGGGAAGGAAAATATTTGGAACTCAAAATCTTATAAAAAAATGAATGTTGAAAACTGTCTTTACATGTAATTGGAAAAAATAAAATTCTATTAATAATAATATTTAAAAATAAAAATAAATTATTCACTGCAGAGCAAAGCTATATGTATACAAAAAAAAAAATCCAGACCTGTGATTTCATTGGTATAGAAAACTTCTGGTGTGGAAACTTCCTCTCCCAATGTGGTTTGGCATCTACTATGTAATTTATAGTATGGAACCCTAGTCTTCCTGGCTTGCACTTTCACACTCTCACACTGTACTTACCTAACCATCCAGCCACGCAGTTGAATGGATGTTGAAGCAATATTGAAAAAAACAAAATTCAGTACATCAGAATAATGTGTACTTTGTGCGGAATTGACTTTTAACTTTCTTGGGGAAAGCAGAGAGAGACTGAGAATGATAATCAAAATCTTCCTCTGACAGATAAATGAATCTTACTTGGACATTTTTATGTTCAATGGCCGCCTCTTAACATCTACCTGTTAGAGAAGATTGTTGTTGGAGAGAAGAATTGACATCCTTATCAAAAGAAAAGGTTAAATCCTAGACTATCAGCTACAGGGAATAAAAAGAAACATGGATGTTTTGATGGAGCTTTTTTTATGGAAAACAAAAGATAAGTCTATGTGGGAAGAAAGGAACTAAATGATTAGGCCCATCCTATGCACATTGCATTGAAAACCCTGCTCTACCCCCTCCTATTGACAGTTAAAATTTTCTAGATGACTTTGTAATGTTAACTCTTTGGCCATTATTTCATATCTCCCTGTTTCCCTACATGCACTAGCCTAAAACATCCTTAGAAGACCTGAAGGTTGTATTCTTATTTTAGAGAAGACAGGGGAAAGTGTGGTACAGATTAGATTGAACTCTGATCTTGCCCCTTTGACCATGGTCAGGTATACATTTTGGGTATACTTTTTTTTTTAATTTGTAAAATGATCTCTAAAATCCTTTTTTAGTTCTAAGACCACATGACTTTAATTCCTTCTTAACTGCAGCCTAGAAAAATCTTCATCTGGATTCAAGATGCTGTCACATTTTAAAAATAAAAAAAGGTCTGTGATGCAAAATCCACTAGACTCACATTTTCTTGAGCATAATAATTGACTTTTATGATCATCACAATTAATCAACATTTAGCTGCATTTAGAAAAATTACATTTAGTACTTTATTTTAATTTATTCCTGCCGCAAACATCTGGGCTAAAAAAAAATACGAATGTAAATCTTGTACTCAAAGATGCAAAATTTGATAAATATAAATCATGACAAACAACATGTCCTTATCTTATGGTTATTTTTATTTGATATAAATGATTATTTGTTATGTTTATTACTTGCATTAAAACCTTCTCCACATATACAAGGCTAATTAACAATTAGCTTTTAAAAATGGTTTTATAATTAAGAAACATCCAATTCCCCAAAACAATTATTAAGCAACACTCTATTAAACACTGAGTATGGTACAATGTTTTGAGAAGATGTCCTCATCCTTACGATCTGATATAGATGACAACATAAATAACTATTGTACAATATAATACAAATAACAATCTTTTAAGCCCAGCCTTTTTAACAAGTATTAAGATTTTTGCCTGAGCATGCACATATTTCTCTTATCCAGAAG